CCTTCATGTAATTTAATTTAAAACAATAACTACTTTCAAGAACCCTGGGCAAAATATCCTCCAACCGCAAAATACTGGCCCTTTGAAGTGGTGAATCTGTGGTCTATTTAGACAATCTCCACTATGTATTAAGGCCCAGGTTACAAAGTCTCATTGGTTTTGTTCTCAGGAATCTAACTTCCTTGTCACTAGAAATTAATGATCCAAGAATAATGTCTAGCACTCATTACACAACTGTTCTATAGCACTTAATAAGGAGAAACCAACTTCTGCTTGCATTTTTAAGGGCTCCTATAGATTCACACAGTGAACCCACAAAAGATTTCAGATACCTCCTCACTAAAGCAGGGTCTACAGCCCTCAGGTGCTTAACAAAAGGATGGAATTTCTGTACTTCAAACTTACAAAACCTACCTCGATGACAGCAGGTTAGCTAAGGTAGTCAGGCTCAACACTGTGCCCTGGGGAATAAGGGGCCTTACTAGATCCACACCATTGGCTCTTCTAAATTTATTTTTTTTATCTAAGTGTTCAGTAAACACAACGCTCACCCAAGGTACAGGGAACAAGCTCATTTCCCACCTCTGCCTGAGAGGGTGCGGGTCAGTATCCCAGACTCCCAGGAAATTATGGAAACCAGTAATTAGCACACTGATGTGGGATGCTGTCTTCTCTACTTCAACTGCAACAGTTAAACCCTCCTTAAGAGAGAGATGGAGAAAAAGCAAAATTATTTTGCAGGCACTGACCTAAGCAAAGCAAAATTTGGAATCTTCTGTTTTACTGAATAATGATACAGGTCTATACTGAAAAAAGTATTAGATAAATTGACCATATAACATTTTAAGTCCTGGCACACAGGTGAACATGCTCAGATGGGCAGAGGTTTCACATCTTTAGCTAACACTAGCCACTGAAGTACAGAGTGGGAGTGGGGAAACCACTGCCTTTTCCTTCTGGCTCTCATTTGTAAAGAAAAATATTTTCACTCACAGCTCTGTACAGGAAAAGCACTTGTCTCCCATAAGCTGGATGCTACTGATCAGTTGATATGAACATGAACAGGATGTTGCTAAGTCCCATTGCAGTGTATAGAGAAACATTTGAACAGACAACTTGGATTGAAAATAGAACTGCCAGCTTCTCTTTCTTCTGAGTACTGATATCAGGTTCCCACAATAGAAGAGGATTTAGAAAATAAACAAATGTATGAAACCACATAAATCGGTAATTGTGTTATTTCCTTTCTCTAGAGCACCTTTAACCAGCTGTATCACAAATGAAGGGTGCCTCAAGCTGGAAAGCTCACAGAACAGGTTTTTCTTCTAAGATCTCCCAAACAATCTTCTCAGCTGTCCTAGAATATGTGTCAACTGGAAAGTAAATTCATATCCGCTTTCCTCCATCTTAACAAGTTTCATTCTAACATCATTCACTAGGTTCCCGTTTCCGTGTTTTGCCATCTGGATCTCATCTTTATAAATACAAGTTACATTCACCCACTTGGCTCACTTCATCTGTAGAGACTTGTTAAATGACTTTAAAGATGATTTACTAAAAAGGCAGTGAAAGATCTAACATGAGAAGAGATTAATTTAAGTAGAGAACTTCTTACTTTAATGTCAAAATTACATTACCAATGACTTCTGGCTTCCCACATTGATCAGCCAATTTCTGCCTTAGTCACATTTGTTCTCTGGCTCTATACATCTGTATGAACACATTAATTACTCAGAAGGCACCCAAGTTCACAGTAATGATCTAGTCCCAAATTTCAAACATCTGAAATACAAATGTGTAGTGTCAGAAAAGTAGAAAGAAAAAAAAGTCCAAACACTAGTGCTTTGTTTCTGAAACAGTATGGAACAGAGTAACTGAGCCCAAGAGACTTAAAGTTCATATTAAACTAGTTTTCTTTTGCTTACTGAATTGTGTGTTTCACCAAAACAGTATCAAGCCCCAAGATAATAATATCAATCTGTATGGATTTATTCAGTCAGTTATTCCAGTCATATTTTTAAACGGTATTAAGAGTTCGTACTTAAAAGCCAAACTCTTATCTCAATTTGAAAGGAAAGAAAAAAAACCTCAAAAGAGTTACAGTAGGAACATAAACCAGCACTCCAACTAATTGCTCCTACCTCTTCTGGAGCAGCACAGAGCTGCTTCTTCCTAAGTTATGTTCTCATATCTTCAGTAACTCAAGTGATACAGATCCATTCTTGGCACTTAAATTTTGCAATTTATTCCTCAAAATGCTGTTCAGGACTGTATATTTAAACATGAACAGAAACAGGAGAAATCTCATGTACAAAGGGGAAAAACAAAAAAAGGAGAGCGCCTCAAGTTTGCTCCTCCTGAGAGTAGATGGCATCTTTCTCTGTAAAATTTTTGTATGATTAGGAGCGAAACATGAGGGATGAATGAAAACAGTTGTGTTCTTTTTCACTCCCTTCATCTGAATCTAGATTCAGCTGATAAGACATACCAATTCAGGGCTCTGGCACCTGCTACAGAAACTCTGTCCCAACAACATGCAACCAGTTAGTGAAAAGGGAACTCTTTTTGATCCTTAAAGATTCTATGAAGCACTTCAAACTCCACCCAGAAATCAACAGGCAGGTTCTGGAGCTGTAGCGCCATAAGCATTGCTGAGATGTCCTTTCAACAAATAAACCTCTGCCCTGTTTCCAGTATCAAATTAAAAATGAATTTTTTTTTAAGTGTGGTAAAAAGGGCCAGGTCAAAAAAAACCCCTATCTGAATTACTTCTGAAACATGCTGTCAAGAAGCTCAGCTAATTTTGACTACTAAAGTTTTCATTTGACTAGAAATCTAACAGCAGGCCCACTGTCTTCAAGGACTAATATTGCCTCTGGCTGCTTCTCAATACCAACTAGCAGTCCAAATTTTTTTGGGCTAAACTTCAATCTATTTGTCCAACATGAGCTAGGCACCATCTGGGACACAGAGCCACACCATCCTCAGCAAATGGGGTCAGCAAGTCACAGTGTCCTCACTGTAGCTACCTGCAGATTGAAGGAAAACTATTGAGTTTTCCAACATCCTGAAAGTGACCTCAAAAACTCTGAGATTTGGGACTCCATTACAACATATACCCAATGGATTTACAGTCTTATGCCACAATGCACCTCCTGATTAGTTGGCATTTCACTCACAAGCCAAGGAAGATGGAAGAAAGTAAACTGGAGATTTATTATTTTCTAAGGATGTCATGAAATGCAGACATTTGTAATTGCTTCTCAGGCTATATCAAGGGAACTAAGCCAAACTCTGCATTCACTGTATTTGCAATTATTGACACCTCAAAAACAATCAAAGGAGCTGGCTTTGGCTTGGTAATAATTTCTATTCCCTCGACAATCTTCTTTCAACTGTTTTACATTGTTCCTTGACCTTTTTAAAAGCCACCTTGCCAGAAGCCTGCCGCTTTCCCATCTGAATGCACTTGTCACCAAAATGAATTACCACCTTGCATTAGTGGTTCAAATAGCCTCTTGATAGGAACTGCAGGAAGAGCAGAATATGGGACAAAACTCAAAATGATGTATTATTGCTAAAACGCTACTACTTCACTTGTCAAGGATTGTAATTAGAGTTGGGCCAAGGCAATGTTAGCTCAGCTGCCTCTGGACACACCTGTTTCAATTTAATTTGTAGTAATTAGGAAGCCTAGGGCACCAGGAAAAACTGCTGTTCACTTACTGTTTCAAATAGCTGAGTTTTCATGTGCCATTTAAAATGCTGTTTTTCAGAACAGACTGCTGACTTGCTAATGCTAGGAAAATGAAATAAAGCAAAATATTTTTAGCAGCAGGAAGTTGTTACTTGCTACTGCCAATTACATGCCTTGTACTTGAACAGGGACATTTTTTTTCCCTTTGCTTATTCTTCAAGATAGGTAAAAGCTGGCTTAGGTCTTGGTGCATGAGGATTCGAATAAAACTCTCAGTCCTCCGGAGCTGGCTGATACTTCTGGAGTCGTAGTCAGTACTGGCAGCAATCTGCTGTGACAGAGCAAACAACATTGCCCTAGATCCACTCCTCAGAAAAGGGAAAAGGAAAAGATTAAGCAAGAGACTTGGATCTATTGGCTTTGGCAAAAGGCTGAATACCTTCTCATGCTAAAAAAATTACCGAATTTGGGGAGTAGAAAATGGGGCAGAGGGGGGAGAAATAAAAAAAAGGCATTACAATTACATAAGAATAGATATTTATACTCTGAGTTAATTTATCAAACTGACACAGAGATGAATCATCCACTATTAAATGGGATACAAGTTTTCTTTATATCACAATCATTATTTACAACTTTTAAATATTCACAAAGGAGTCAAGTATCCTCATCTTTTAATTTAAAATGTGATCTTGCAGGCCAAAAGAAAACTCTTGGCAAAAATAAGTTTCTACAGGAACAGTGCCCAAAGAATGATTTCTTCAAAAACAGGATAGATCTTAACAATCATGATGGCACTTCTTTTTTTTAAACCTACACTATAAACCACACAGGGCTCAAGAAACTCAAACAAAGGTAGATCTCTGAGGAACAAAACAATGAGAAAGGGTAATAACAAGACACAGCTACTTAGGACTTTTCTAAAATATAACATAAACCTCATTTTTTTTGAGGTGACACAAGTCTGCTTTGAGGTAGGTTCATTGCCATGTGCTGAGAATCCAACTGAAGCCAATACTGTTCCTCTCCCTGAACTAACTTGAACATATGCATTATTTTAATAACTGGCCTTTTTCTGTTGTAATGCCATTATAAACAACCATACCACTGTGTATTTTTCCATCTTAGAACAACCCCTGGAGTCCCTTCCACCTTTCCCCCCAAAAAAATCTGGGAGATGCAGTGCAATGCTTCCCGAATACTGTTTTCATTATTTTGGAATGGTTTTAATATTATTGGTCATTATTTCCTGTAGATTGATGTGGATGTGTATTTAAAAACTAGACAAGAGAACACAAAATGAAACCCATATAATAAAATGAGTTTTAATAGTCAGTGCCATCATTTTACCCCTTAGGTGAACTTTATGGACGATAAGAGTGTCTACTTTGCAGCTGTGCTTATATAATGGATATGGGACACCCATATACCTCCCACATGTGATCTTAAACCCACAAAAATCAAGAATTACATGAGGCTGGATCTTCTTTTATTCATTTGCCTTTGCTGCTTCAACAGGCAATTTCTTTTCAATCCAGGATTTTAGTTTTTCTATTTCAGTTCTGCTTAACTCATGATTGAGATTTGGAAAAGTATGAAGTGATGCTGATGCCCCCAGTGACTTTAACATCTTGTTGGTCTCTTCACCCCATGAGTAGAGAACTAGGTCATCAGCAGTTCCATGACACTGAAATAACTCCGGAAGAACACTTTCATTTCTTTTCAAAGCCTACATGGAAAGGAGATACTGTCAGACATATTGCTAACAAATTTAAAAGAATAGTTACAATTACATTGTGACAACTTACATAGCATTGCATTTATTAATCTGCATTTTAGTGGTCATACTGTACTATCTCTACAAAAGTAAACAAGGAAATAATGGAAAAAAATGCCTTTAAATTCCAATATGCTAACTCTTGACAAATGATAGGGTTTACTTTAAGGTCTATACCCCTCTCCAAATAAGAAAACCAGAAAAAATTCATGACAGCAGATGGAGCCCATGAGTATTATAATTCATCACAAACTTTCAAAGCAGTTTTGCTTACATAGACTCTTTAACAACTAAGGAAAACTAGCAAAGAAATTCATTTGTTAATCTCCTTCTACACTTCTAGTAATTGTACTGTCTATGCAAAAAAAGCAACACAACATCATGTACGGACAGCTTTAAAGCCTCACTTCCCTAATAGTCTGCTTATCTATTTCCAGGAAATGGCATAAGTTTAGAATATGAATCAATTGCCTCAGATGAATAAACATGATGTATTCAATTTTAATTACCATGTTTTCCATTTAGCTAAGCAGTTTTTCTATAACATCTACCACATACTCACCTGGTAAACAGCAGAGTCTTTATTGAGAAAACTAGACAGTGCAAAGACTCCTGCCAGATCCTGATGAAACCTATATGCTACATGCATTGCCATTCCACCTCCCATTGAAAAGCCACCTAGGATGCAACAAAAGAAAGATTGGATTTTTCTATAAGTCTTTGTAACCCAGCACTCAATTTATTTTTATCTTCAGACTTGTTTCTTTTATACATAATGCAATCAAAAAACATCTTGAGTAACATAAAGGTTACAATGATCTTAGAATCACAGAATCATTAAGATCCTCTAGTCCAACCTTTGATCATCGCGTTGTCAAATAGACCATGGTACCAAGTGCCACATCCAGTCATTTTATGAACACTTCCAGAGATGGTGACTCCATCACCTCCCTGGGCAGTCCATTCCAATGTTTAATAATCCTTCCTATGAAGAAATTCCTCCTGATGTCCAACCTGAACCTTCCCTGGCATAGCATGAGGCTTAAGTCAGTGCAATTGGATAGCTAAAGTACTGCTGAAGATTCATTACTGAAAGAGAAAAAAATCCCAAACCCCAGCCAAAATGCCATTATTTTAGAAGCCATTTGTGCCAGGTAGTTGAACACCGTGGCCATATATACTCTGACATTAACAAAGTAAAACTCTATGAACAGGTAATTTTCACTGCTTACTTTATTCAACTTATTTTTCCCCTAGGCTAGGAGCATTCACACATGAAAGCTCTCTATCACTATTGCACATAATCAGTGAACATTCACAATAGACTAGTATTGAGGATATTTTTGTTGTTACACCTTGGGATATATAATGAATAGGAAAAAAATGCAATGTACTCCACCTGAGCTCTAACAGGACCTCTGAATTAATGGCCTTCTGTAATCCATATGTCTCTTCAACTGCACTAATTCCTTACATGAGATACTTCCTCAGGGATGATTTTTACATGAAAAATGCTTATTCATTAGCAAAAAAATCTAGACTATCACATTACTTCAAAAGGACACAGTACACAGGCTATTATATTGACTGTATCCAGATAATGGCTAGAGTGACATTTCCTTTATTTTCTTATGTGGAATCTGACCATTTGCTTCATTTCCTTTTGATCAATCTGAACAATGCTGTCATCCCCAAACCCAAAAAGGAGCACTTATATTCTAAGAGACCATTTTGCATTTGCTTACAAATAAATACAGATAATACTTTGTTAACATTTAAAATTAAGTCCATTTTAAGCATTTTAGATTACAGGAAGAAAAGCTGCATTGAAAACTCATTACTAGTTTTTAAATGATTTAATCTTAAAATTTTGTACCCAGTTAGTCACAGTCTGGCACACTGTCTGCAATTACTCACCAGCAGTCTTTGACAATGCAGTCACCTTCTGTTTAGAAGTACATTAGGTAATGGTTCTTTTATGTAGATCATACTACTATGACAAAATGCAATACAAAGGACCAGTTCTTTGAATTTGGTTTGCATGGGAAAACCTGAAGTCTATCACCTGGTATCACAACAATCTCCAGGTAAATGCCATATGTTACATGCTTCAAAACCAACAATTTGAATGAGCATTTGTAGCTGTAGACAATTTTTTTCAATTACAAGAAGCATTTCAGTATAAGTGTATGTTTGACACAACACATAAAACATATGGTCCGTCAAAAACTTCTACAAGAATTTAAATTTGGATTAAAGAAATATACGAGGCAGGTACAGATATTACACAAAACAAATGTATGAAGTGACAGTCAGAATGTAAGCAAAACAGAAAGCAAAAAGAAAAGTACATGTAAACAAATTATCTCAGCATAAAGAATACATAAACCCTACTTAGCATGTCATGAGTGTTAGACAAAATCAAAACAACATGCAACATTTCATCCTTAGATGGACAAAATATCACAAGCTCTTCACTTGAGACCAATCTACTTCCAAGACATACAGTGGCTGTACACAGAAGTTCATAGTTAGCCCATAGGTTTTAAATAAAAAAAAGTATGTTCACTTTCAATTTTCCCCTTATACCTATTTTAATGAGAACTGTGATTAATGCTTCAAAACAGTTGAACAGTGTTAGCTCTACAATGCTCAGTATACCAGTTCAGGAAAGCATTTCTGTTAACTTTCCTGCCTTACAAATACGTGCAGGCTAAAAGGTGAGCACATACAAAACAGACACAAATAAAACCCCATTGCAGAGAAAATTGACTCAAATATGCATTTATGACCTCAAATGTGCTTCAGTGTAGTGCTGATTTTTAGGTAACATCACTTTGCAATAAGAAGAAAGCTGCTTGCAACTTGCTTTTCTAGTTGAGAAAGATCTGCTGAAATCACACAATCGTCACACTTCCAAAATTAGAGAATTTCAATCAGAAGGAAACTTCGCTGCAATACTTTACTGAACCAAAACTCCTTTGCAAAAATTCTTTGTTGGAATATTATCTGCAACTATGTTACAGTCATACTATGATGGAACACAGAGTGAATGAAGACTGAATTTCTCATATGTAATTGATTCCTGTTTGAATAGAATAGAAACTCTCATCACAGTTGCCACTTTTCAGTGATAAAACATTCTTTCCAGAGCTTGTAAATGGCCTTAGGAGCCTTTTAAACAAACCTTCAGCTCACTTCTGCTAAAGATCTTGATTTGTATTAATTTGCTCCTCATTTGTATTTGTCTGAAATGATAATCTGGTCCATGATGATACTTGAACATTATATGGGGTTCAGGAAACCAAATATTTACCTACTGTCAAACTTGAGCTTTATTAATTTCTTTGTATTTGGCCTTACAATGTTTGGTTTTGTATCTCAGAAAATGACTAACAAGTATCTAGCACAAAGGTTTCTTTATTTTGTCTCTCCTGTCCTGTATACATAAGAGAATGCTCAAAACTCTGCCTTCTCCCCCATGTTCCACTTTGGTGCCTGCAACAGTCTATTCCCAAGTTCAGAAAGTTCTTTAGGTTTTCATTCCTCTTTACAGAAAAAACACCTCTCTAACACACACAGGTTTGACATTGCTGATTGCTTCATGAATCACATAGATCTGACTGTAAAATGCTTTAAACAATTTGTTATAATGATTATGGAACTAGGGAACAACAAACAACATCACTTTTTTGCTCTTTCCAATTAAAATTTTTAAATGTGCTCAAAGTTTTTTTTTTCCACACTAGAAACCACAGCCATGGGAAAAAAATTAGTTATTAATCACCTTTAGTGCACAAATTTTGCCATCTGCATTGAATACAGATCTTCTGCTCTTTGCAGAGACAGACCAGGAGCTCTTCTCATATGAACTTGAGTAGCAAAGTTAGAAACTGCTTCATTACAGCATAGAAACAAAAAAGGAGGAGGAGAAGCTAAACTCCAGACTTCCATGAGATAAGAATTAGGACTTGGGTGCAGGGGTGTGGTATGGCTTGTTTATTTTAAGTAGTATTTCTTCACCAGTTTCTCTCTAGTAGTTGTTCTTCATCTTCTCTGTATTTCTTCAGAATTGTCAGTACAGCTTTGGTAACAAAGTGGCATACAGTGTCTGTGCCAGCACAGCACAAGACAAATGCTCTTCTGTTGTATAAGGCTACACCAGCACAGTTAGAAATTGTCTCGTCCTGTTCTGTTACCATCACAATACATTACATACTCTTGCCTCATTTTCTTTCCATTCTCACAGCATTTTTCATTCTCAATTTCTCCTTTCTTAGTATTTCAACTTATTTCAACTTCAATTAGTTTGTTATCAGGAATTTCTCCCTAAAGCTACATTTCAGTTTACTTTCTGCTCTCCCTGGGGACTTCCTGTGATTTACCTGCTATTAATGGTAACAGCAAAACATTGTTCTACACATCATCTGCAAAGAACCTGACTTTCTGTTTTGACCCTCCCTTTTCATCAATGAATGAAAGTATTATATACATTTAACAGTGTTCATAAATGAATATCAGCAAAGAGTAAAAATGCCAGTGGAACAGCAAATTCTCTTCTCCACAGAAGTCCCTCAACACTGCTCCTGTGTTAAGTGTTCAAGTATGTACTTTGTCTCAAGTGAATTTACTCCTTTGATTGTCTCCTTTTAATCTATTCAAGCAACTTCACCAAACACTAACCTTTCACACTAGCAGATCTGCAATGGATAGTTTCCACCTTTCATAGCCTTTTTATTCTGTTTGTTACTCAGTGACTGAAAGTCTTTAATAGAACAAAGGCAACTTCCCTTGACTGGCTCAGCCACTCGCTCTTGTTAGGAACATGACACAATTTGCTCCCTAACTTTCTCACCAGCCAAAACACATTTTGAAATGCATATTTAAGTGGTACAAGTTTTACCACTTTCTTGTAAAAACAAGTGTACAATAGTTTCTAACGTATCAACTTGCAGAAAAACCAGAACCAGTTACAGTTTTATTTTCAACTGTTATGGGTAATAGAGGGAAACCCAACGTGTACCTAAGGAATCATAATTTTTAGGACTGGAAGGAAAATAAAATCCATGAAAAGTCTCAAATCAATTTTTATTAAGGTCTTACACTACCCAATCTACACCTTGCTTCATTTACCTAGTGTGTTTCCTTGGCTGTTTCTAGAGAGGATGAGAGCACAGCCCTGTTGCAACACTTACCTGCCATTTTTACATTCAGCACAACCGCACAACACTGGAAAAAGGAAGAGAATAACCTATTCTTTATGCTCACAGTATCTATGATTTCCAATTGAATCACAGAAAGGAAACTAGAAAATAGTTCTCTAAAGCAAAGAATATTGAAGCACAGAAGCAGATTGTCTTAGAGAGATGTGAACCTTCCATTAGTGGAGAACTTTCAGAAGAAGTCAGAAAGGCAATGGTAAGGATTTGCCTAAATACAGCTGAACCTGCACTGACACATAATCATGGATTAGTGAATGTTGTTGTCTCACTTTTCTATGATTCTGCAGGCATGACTGTGAAGAAAATACAGGTTAATCTGTACCCTGTGGCATGTCTACACATGACTCCCAACCATTATAAAAGCCCATTCATCCACTTAATTTTGCACAGAATTCAGGCATTTATTAAAGAAGAGTAAGTACATGTTTTCAACAGAGTTTCTATTAAGGCTGAAAA